GGTGACACTGATATGAGGTTATCAAAATCTACCCGATTTTTGGGAATTGAAATAGACTCGACCTTGAGCTGGAAGGATCATGTAGAATATTTGTCAAAAAAACTTAATACAGTCCACTATTCTATCCGCGTACTAAAAACATACTTAGATAAAAAACAGTTGCTAATGATATATCATGCTAACTTCCATTCTCTTTTAAGATATGGAATAATATTTTGGGGTCAAAGTACACAAATCAATAGAATATTTATTTTACAAAAAAATATTTTACGAACCATTTTCGACTTAAAGTTCAGGGAGTCATGCCGGGGAATTTTCAGGTACAACAATATCCTTACAGTGACAGGACAGTACGTCTACTCGCTATTAATATTTATGTATCAAAATCAAAATGATTTCGAAATTCCAAAAAAACAACAAAACTATAACACCCGAAACAACAATTTGATGTTTCCAAAGCACAGACTTACGCTGAGCGAAAAAAACTGTTATTATGCGGCAATTAAAATGTATAATCATCTCAGTGACCCAATAAAAAAAATACAAAAATTGAATATAAGGAATGTTCATTTTATAAAGCGGACACTGAAAAATTGCTACTAATTTGAGTACTTTGGGCTAATTTAATTTTTTTTTTTTATAAAAATGTTTAACAATGTTATATGAAATAATTATTCTTATTATCAATCAATTATATACAGAAACTATAAAATTTTCTAACTATTGCGCGAATACCGCGAATCGCTGTTTGCACAGGTTTTTTTGTGATTTTCTTCGTAGCAGGAGGCCACAATTTTTTAAATTCTCCAAGTCATGATGCTGTTCGGCCATCTTTTCTTAACACTGCTTTCATATTTGCCTATTATCCCTCAACTGAACGAAGCTCAGGACAGTTGGGTGGTTTATCTTCCTTTTTTAAAAACTGTACATTATTGGCATTAAGAAGCTCCTGAGTGGCACCAGCGTAGTGAACCGAAGCCAAATTTGGCCAAAACGATGGAGGGATATGATGTTTGCGATAAACAGGCGATAATCGCGTTTTTATACATTCTTTCCTGTAATCATCACCCCCAATTATTCCAATCGTAAAAAAAAACTAAAAGCTTTTTAGCTCACAAGAACAAATGGCTTGCCATACTAAGACTTTTTTCCCAAACTTTTCAATTTTTTTTTGTTTTCTTGTCATCGAGGACATCTACCCCTACGATTGCATTATAAAACTAGGGGCCGGGTAGTGTATTGCAGTCCATTTTAACCTTCGTTTCGTTGTCCATCAAAACCCAACGATTTTTGTTCCTGGCCAAAATTGTTTATAACTTCCCGCTTTTTTTTTGAAACTCTATGCGCTGCTTTTCGCTTCTTTTTGGGGTTTTTTGCTTTAATACGTTCTAATGTTATTCCGAGTCTTTATATTTTGTACAGTACCTACGGTAACACCTTGCTTCTTCGGTATTTCCCCCACAGACATACATTTCGTTAATTTTAGCAGCTTAATGATGTTTTCCTCAATATTTTCGTGAAGCAGGCCTTTTCTCGGTCTGGATTTGAGCAAATCTTCTAAAGTATTAAACGCCCCAAACTTTTTGATCATTTGGAACACTGCTGATTTTGGACATTTAGTTATTTTAGCCAGTCCCCTCAAAGGAAATTTTTCGTAGCATCACTTTTGCAAAAATAATTTTCTTGCCCCAATTGCGATTCGCTTCATTTTAAAAAGAAAAAACGTTATTTTGAAAACAAAAATGGCATTTAATAGATATAACTTCAAGCTTTCATATATATCAATTAGAATAATTTAGATTAAAAATTAGAAAATTGGCGTTACTTTAAAGGTGTCCGTTTAATAAAATGAACACTCCTTATTCAAAAAGGAGCTGTGCAAAATGTTAGTGCAACTAGAGCCATACAACTTGGACGAATTTTATAATTGTAAATAATTAAAATAACTTATCATTTAAGTCAAAATTTGTGTTTTATATGTAGTTATCATTTCGTTTGTTAATTGTGTTATAAAAATGTCTGCGTTATATACTGCAAATTATACTTTGTCCTGTATGTTTATCGATGCTATTTTATTGCTATTTTATTGTTATTTATTTATTTTATTTGACGTTTCTTGCCCTGTTTTATATAATGTACCTGTGCAAGAATAAAGATATTCTATTCTATTCTAAATTGTACAATCGGAAAATTTCAAAGAAAAAATTGAAAAACTAAAAAATTGAGAAAAATCTAAAAATGAGAAATCGTAGGATTGAAAAACTGAAGAATTTTTATAAATTGTTTTAAGTTTTGTCATTTTATGATTTTAAATTTTTCAGATTTTAATTTTTTATTTTTTCGATTTTTGGCGTTTCGTTAAAAAAACTAATTTATACAAACTGAAAATTTGAAAAATCGAAAAATTGAAGAAACGAAACAGTGAAAAATCGAAAAATTAAAAAAAAAACTGAAAATTGGAAAAATTGTAAAATTGAACAATCGAAAAAGAGAAAACTTAAAATTGAAAATTCAAAATTTGAAAAAAGGAAAACAAAAAAAAACGGTAGAAACTGAAAATTCGGATAATTGAAAAACCAAAAATTGAAAATGGAAAAACTACGATTCTAAAATTTTAAAATCAAAAAATTGAAAATCAAAAAACTGAAAAAATTAAAAATTCTAAAGGAAAAATCGAAAAATACATGCATTGAAAACTTAAAAAATTCAAAATTGTAAAACTGTACAATCGAAAAATTTCAAAATAAAAATCGAAAAACTAAAAAAATTAGAAAAATCTAAAAATTGAAAATCTGAAGAATCTTTAAAAATTCAAAATCTATGTTTGTTTTTTTAAGTTTTGTCATTTTACGATTTTTAATTTTTCAAATTCTAGATTTTAATTTTTTATTTTTTCGATTTTTGACGTTTCGTAAAAATTCAAAATTTGAAGAAAAAACAAAAAAATACGATAGAAACAGAAAATTCAGATAATTGAAAAGCCAAAAATTGAAAATCGAAAAACTACGATTCCAAAATTTTAAAATCACAAAAATTAAAAATTGAAAAATCTAACAATTGCAAAATAGAAAAACTAAAAATTGAAAATCAAAAAACTGAAAAAATTAAAAATTCCAAAGGTAAAAAGTCAAAAAATACAATAATTTTAAATTGAAATCTGAAACCATTGCAAATCAAAGAACTGTAAAATGGAAAAATTTCAAAGTAAAAATAAAAAAACTAAAAATTGAAAAAATTGAGAAAAATCTAAAAACCGAGAAATCGTAAATTTTTTTAATTTTTCAGGTTCTAGATTTTAATTTTTCGTTTTCTTGATTTTTGACTTTTCATTAAAAAAACTAATTTATTCAAACTGAAAATTTAAAAAATCGAAACAGGGAAAAATCGAAAAATTAAAAGACACTGAAAAATCTAAAAATTAAAAAGCGATAAATTGTAAACTCTAAAAATTGAAAATCTGAAAAATTGTAGAATTGAAAAATCAAAATATGAAAAAAAAGGAAGACTGAAAAAGATATCGTAGAAACTGAAAATTCGGATAATTGAAAAATCAAAAATCGAAAATAAATAAAAACGAAAACTTGTAAAATCGAAAAATTGCAAATCGAATAACTACGTGTCTAAAATATTAAAATAAAAAAATACAAAAATTTTAAATCGACAACTTGAAAAATTGCGTGTCAAAAAACTATAGAATCGACACATTTCTAAGAACTAATTTATTCAAAATGAAAATTTGAAAAATCGAAGAATTAAAAACGAAACAGTGAAAAATTGAAAAATTTAAGAGAAAATTGAAAATTTAAAATTTGAAAAAACGGAAAACTGAAAAAATATGATTGAAATTGAAAAATCTGATAATTGAAAAATCAAAAATGGAAAATAAAAAGAAACGAAAACTTGTACAATCGAAAAACTACGATTCCAAAATTTTAAAATCAAAAAATTAAAAATTGAAAAATCTAACAATTGCAAAATCGAAAAATTCAAAATTTGAAAGTCGAAAAAGAGAAAATTCAAAATTCGAAATTTGAAAAAACTTAAAACTGAAAAATATAGTAGAAACTAAAATTCGGATAATTGGAAAATCAAAAATTGAACATAAAAGAACGAAAAATTGAAAAATCGAAAAACTGAAAAACTCAAATGTTGAAAAAGCTGTAGATTCGAGAAAATTCAACATAAAAATGGGAAAACTAAAAAATTGAAGAAATTTCAAAAAATAAAATATGCTTCTACAGCCTGAGAAGTTGCCAATTAGGAGATTGTAAAAAAATAAATACATAACTGAAGGAATTTTAGTTTCTACTTCTCTAAAAATAACTGAAATACCAATGACCAAAATGTTGTTTTGTTTCCAATAGGCGCTTCTAATCTCAATTTTAATCCTTCATTAACCTGCCGTAATAGTTTAACTAGTGAACTAATAAAAAAACGCACTTTTTCCGCTTGTTGAATTGTGAAAACGAAAATCCCTAGACGCCAATTCAAAACTTACTTTTTTACTGTTTTATCGTTATAACGAGTTTGCTTTTACACCGATTGTCGGTTTTATTGTTTCGTACTTCGGGCAATTTAATTATTTAACAACCAAAGACATTATTTTAATAGAGTGCATAAAATAAACAATAAGAACATGGGAGTTAATTTTACACGTTTAAAGATTCGTGCTACGCCTGTCACCCTAAAACCGCGATAATAATGGCACGCCACCGATAAAATAATGCACACACTTCAAAAAATCATAAATCCAATTAAAACATCAATTACAACCCAATAAACACATCATTATTATCATTATTATATTAAAAATTCTCCCAATTTTTTCGAAAAACCCGAAAGCTGCCCCCTTTTGGCGGCTCTTTTTCCAAAGCACACGCCAGGTGGGGTCCGCCTCAACACCTCAACATTTTGAGTGATCCTGATTGGCGGAGGTCCCCGGCAGCGATTCAACTTTCTCCGGTAATAAGCTCCTCGTGGATTTACAGAGAGCACAAGAGTTCGCGTTGTGAAACCGACGAGATCATCTGTTGCGAGTGCGGGCCTGAACACCATTTAGATTTTTTTTCGTCGAGCCAAAATCGCAGAGAACGACTCAACTCGTCTTCGAGCATCCGGGTGCCGTCTGCTGTGATTATGTGCGCGAATCGCCCTTGTGATTTTTGAGTTTTGGGATTTTTTTTGTGGTGAAAGAGTGATCGAGGAAATGGAGTTGACGTTGGGGTAAGTCACGTTAGAAAAAAAAAAAAAAATGTGGTGAATTAAGTGCGTGGGTGAGTCAGGCTGTGAGTTTTTGTTGAAAAATCGATTGTCGTGCTGCGGGTAATTTTATTCTATAGTTTTGGCTTTTCTGAATTTTTGTGTTTTTTTTTATCGTGATTACTTATGCCAAGGTTGTTTACTTTAAAGAACTACGGTAATAAGAAACTCATCAACGCATTCTACTTTAAAATGAGTTTAATTTGGTCGTACAAGGTTTCTGGCTACGTGAGATTCCCAAAAATGAAAGAAAATGCAGAATAGATTTTTCCATAAAAAGGAAAAGTATTTGGACTCTGGAGATGCGAAATAAATACCTGGTCAATCGAAGTGGTTTAAATGTGTTTTAGTGTCATTTACTTATCATGACGATAATAATAATAATAATAATAATAAATATGATTTACGAACAGTTTGAAAGTTTCTGTATAGTTAAAGAACATAACGTCGAATTTAAATGCATATTATTAGGAATATTGTTCCTCAACTACATCCAAAAAAACTAGAATTTCCGGACGATTTGAAAATGGTAACCGAAACAGTATTGATTTTAATGCATTCCGTTTTTGTAGAGGTCATCAAACAAGTCCTTAAAAGATCAAACTTTGTTTACTAATTGTTGCGAAAATGGAATTCAGGTTTTCTGTTTTTCAAAAATAAAATATACAAAGGTCAAATGTCTTGACCCACGTCACGTTTAAACACGGCGAAAACTCAAAATTTTTCATTTTTTTTTAATTTTCGAAATTGAGTGAAAGGAATGTTCATTGCCAGCTTCTCCCTAGGGAATCGTTTTGTTGGATATTTTCTTCACATTTGTCGAAATCTGTTATTTTCTAGAATTTAAAAAAAATCGATCAAATTTTGTATATTTTAGAAATTTTATATTAAAAAAAAATGTTTTGTGCTGCATTTATTAAAATATTTGTTTCATTAGTACTAAATTAGTCCTTAAAAACACAATAAGTTAGTCGTCAAAAATTTACAAAATAATTTTATTTTGATTACTATTTTTTTAATCTTTTTTTTTTTGAACATTTTACTTTGAAAAATTGTATTTATTTGTTTAAAATTTTGACTTTTTTCTACAACATTTTCATTAATGTAATTTATTTATACTCTGAGAGGTCTTGTCGTAACTTAATCACAGAAACAAATTAGTGAAAACTGAAAAACTATTTTTCACCAATTTACACGAATTTTTCACTTTTTGTCTTCTGGAAAATGAAATAGCGTTTTTGTCCACTATCTTTTTAAAAAATTGTTTATTGGCTGGGAAAATGAAAATAGTTTTTCTCAAAAATAGGATACACAAAGGTCAAATCTACACACGTTATGTTCAAGTGCAACGAAAACTCAACACAATTTTTAAGTTTTCGAAAATTTCTATTTTTTCGAAAATGAGTGAAGGGGTATATTTTCTTCTATTCTGTTTAAGTCCTACCGTTTTTTTTAATTGTCTTTTTTAAGAAAATAGAAAAAATCATGGGGGAAGCCCTGCTGTCTTTTTTTAAGAATATTAAAAAATCTTGGAGGCCCCGACTATCTTTTAAGAATATACAAGAATGTTGGTGACCCCGACTGTCTTTTTTTGAAGACTACAAAGGAATCCTGGAGACCTTAACTGTCTTTTTTTTAATAATTTTAAAGAATTTCAGGGGCCTCTTCTATTTTTTTTTATTATTCAAAAATTTCAGAGTTCCCGAGTCTCTTTATATTTAAGAATATACAAGAATATATTGGGACCCAAGTGTCTTTTTTTAAATTTGTTAATCCTGGGGACCACTGCTGTCTTTTTTTAAGGGTATTAAAGGATCTCAGGGTCCCTGACTGTCTTTTTTTTAAGAATATAAAAAGATGTTGGGGGCCCCCGCTGTTTTTTTTTTTATACTTTGACGATTCTTTTTGTGAAGACTACAAAGGATTCTTGGAGATCTTGACTGTCTTTTTTTAAGAATTTTAAAGAATCTCGGGGGCCTCGACTATTATTATTGAAAAATCTTGGGGCGGCCCGACTGTATTTTTTTTAAGAATATTAAAAAATCTCGGACTTCCCGACTCTCGTTTTATTCAAGATATACAAGAATCTTTTGGGGCCCAAGTGTCTTTTTTTTTTTTAAGTCTGTTAAATTATCCTGAGGGGGCTGTTGTCTTTTTTAAGAAAATAAAACACTTGGGAACTCGTACTGTTTTTTAAGTATATAAAATTATCATGGGGGTCTCTGCTGTCTTTTTTTTAAGTATACTAAAGAATCTCGGGGACCCCGACTGTCTTCTTTTTTTGAGAATATAAAAGAATCTTGGGGGCCCCCACTGTCTTTCTTTAAGTATACTAAAGAATCTCGGGGGCCCCGACTGTCTTTTTTTTTTGAGAATATAAAAGAATCTTGGGGGCCCCCACGGTTTTTTTTTTAATACTTTGACGAATCTTGGGGTTCCTGACTAGCTTTTTTTAAGAATTTTAAAGAATCTCGGGGGCCTCGACTGTTTTTTTTTTTATTATTATTGAAAAATCTTGAGGGGCCGACTGTATTTTTTTAAGAATATTAAAAAATCTCGGACTCCCCGACTCTCGTTTTATTCAAGATATACAAGAATCTTTTGGGCCCCAAGTGTCTTTTTTTAAGTCTGTTAAATAATCCTGAGGGGGCTGCTGTCTTTTTTAAGAAAATAAAAAACTTGGGAACCCGTACTGTTTTTTAACTATATAAAATTATCATGGGGGCCTCTGCTGTTTTTTTTTTTAAATATACTAAAGAATTTCGGGGCCCCCCCGCTGTTTTTTTTTTTAATACTTTGACGAATCTTGGGGGTCCCGACTATCTTTTTATTTAAGAATATACAAGAATGTTGGGAGCTCCGACTGCCTTTTTGTGAACACTACAAATGAATCTTGGAGATCTTGACTGTCTTTTTTTAAGGATTTTAAAGAATCTCGGGGGCCTCGACTGTTTTTTTTTTTATTATTGAAAAATCTTGGGGCCCTGACTGTATTTTTTTTTTAATATTAAAAAATTCCGGACTCCCCGACTCTCGTTTTATTCAAGATATACAAGAATCTTTTAGGCCCCAAGTGTCTTTTTTTAAGTCTGTTAAATAATTCTGAGGGGGCTGCTGTCTTTTTTAAGAAAATAAAAAAACTTGGGAACCCGTACTGTTTTTTAACTATATAAAATTATCATGGGGGCCTCTGCTGTTTTTTTTTTTAAATATACTAAAGAATTTCGGGGGCCCCCCGCTGTTTTTTTTTTTTAATACTTTGACGAATCTTGGGGGTCCCGACTATCTTTTTATTTAAGAATATACAAGAATGTTGGGAGCTCCGACTGCCTTTTTGTGAAGACTACAAATGAATCATTGAGATCTTGACTGTCTTTTTTTAAGAATTTTAAAGAATCTCGGGGGCCTCGACTGTTTTTTTTTTATTATTGAAAAATCTTGGGGGCCCTGACTGTATTTTTTTTTTTAAATATTAAAAAATCTCGAACTCCCCGACTCTCGTTTTATTCAAGATATACAAGAATCTTTTAGGCTCCAAGTGTCTTTTTTTTAAGTCTGTTAAATAATCCTGAGGGGGCTGCTGGCTTTTTTAAGAAAATAAAAAACTTGGGAACCCGTACTGTTTTTTAAGTATATAAAATTATCATGGGGGCCTATGCTGTTTTTTTTTTGAATAAGTATAAAAAAATCTCGGGGGCCCCGACTGTCTTTTTTTTGAGAATATTAGAGAATCTTGTAGGCCCCGGCTGTTTTTTTTTTTTTTTTAATACTTTGACAAATCTTGGGGGTCCTGACTATCTTTTTATTTAGGAATATACAAGAATGTTGGGGGCCCCGACTGCCTTTTTGTGAAGACTACAAAGGATTCTTGGAGATCTTGACTGTCTTTTTTTAAGAATTTTAAAGAGTCTCGGGGGCCTCGACTGTTTTTTTTTTTATTATTATTATTATTATTGAAAAATCTTGGGAGGCCCGACTGTAGTTTTATTCAAAATATACAAGAATCTTTTGGGCCCCAAGTGTCTTTTTTTTTAAATCTGTTAAATAATCGTGGGGGGGGGCTGCTGCCTTTTTGAAGAAAATAAAAGTATCTTGGGAACCGGAACTGTTTTTTTTTTAATATATAAAATTTCCATGGGGGCCCCTGCTGTTTTTTATTTTAATATTAAAGAATCTAGGAGGCACCGACTGGCTTTTTTAAGAATATAAAAGAATCTCGAGGGGATCCGATTAAATCTAGGGGTTCCGACTGTTTTTTTTTTTAAGACTTTGAGGACCCTTGGGGATCCCGACTATCTTTTTGTTTAATAATACACAAGAATGTTGGGGGGCCTGCTTGTCTTTTATGAAGAATACAAAGGAATCTTGGAAACCTTGACTGTCTTTTTTTATAATTTTAAAGATTCTCGGGTGCTCCGACTAGTTTTTTTAATATTCAAAAATTTTAGGACCCCGACTCTCTTTTTTATTAATAAGATACACGAATCTTGTGGGCCCCAAATGTCTTTTTTAAGTATGTGAAATAATCCTAGGAGGGCTGCTGTCTTTTTTTAAGTATATAAAATTGTCATGGGGGCCTCTGCTGTTTTATTTTTTAATATTAAAGAATCTCGGGAGCCTGATTGCCTTTTTTGAGAATATAAAAGAATCTTGGGGCCCCGGCTGTTTTTTTTTAAGACTTCGAGAAATTTTGGGGGTCCTGACTATCTTTTTGTTTAAGAATACAAGAATGTTGGGGCCCCAACTGTCTTTTTTTTAAGGATTTTAAAGAATTTCGGGGGCCTCAGGTGTCTTATTGAAGACTATGCAGGAATCTCTTTTTTTAAGAATACTAAAGAACCAGGCTGTCCGGTTTTTAAAGAAAGAAAAAGAATCTTGGGGGCTTGAAATTGAATGTTTTATTGACTATGCTCCTGAGACGAGGGAAGTTGTGTTTAAATAACTGATGCAAAAGGTCACATTAC